GTGACGCCACACGCAATTGAGGGCACAAAACAGCGGGCGCCTGAACATAGCAATGTACACCAGCCCTCCTGCGACCACTTGCAGATGCTTGAGGCCAGCTCGGCCCCACACAATCAGCTCCACCGCTAGACCCATGTACTTAAGTACTTTCTCCGGGCGGGGATAAGCCACTCCTTCTTTGCCTCTGACGACAGCGCCCTGCACCTCTGCCCTTTCAGCACTAACCACACTTTTCTTGGGATGCCGAGGCAGACAGGCCGACTCGTAGGCCTTCCTGACAGCCTCCTGTTCCGGGCTCTCCCTCCCCTCCAGCCTGAAGGCCAACTGGGAGTCCACTTTCTGGATGAAATCGAAGTTGTCGAGGTAGATCCTAAAAAGGCGGGAGCTCGCAGGGAAACTCTTGTCTTTGCGGATCTCTTGATCTCCCGTCAAAAGGAGGGGGTCCACGCTCCTAATCACGTTACGGTGCACATGCTGGGCGATGCTAACACTGTTAAGGAACCCCATAGGGAGGACCTTGGCGGCAAGAACGCACTTCCTCCCAGTAAGGGAGGAGGGAACGAGGTCCTCTGGGACAGCCTTGTTGAACCCCAGGAATCTTTTCCACGCGGGGGGAACCTGGAAAAGATAGAAAAAGCATCTGATGTCCTCAGACGACAGGAGGGCCACTTCGGACCCCTCCAACACGAAGGCGGACATCCCCGAAATTTGGGGCAACGTACCCACGTCACCGGAAACACTTCGGCAGATTCTATTCAAAGGGATCAAGTTCATGATCAACCGGAGTGTCTCCTTCCCGTTCACAAACTCGCCTTTTCCAACTCCGAACATGCCATTCAGGAGGGGTTGACCTTGAATGTGAAACAGCTCATCCACAGGCACCACCTCGCAGATCCCTTTATCCATCAAGCCTTGGCAAATAGCAGGCCACTCTTCGGCATCGGCAAAAACTCGGGGAGGCTTGCCTAGACTCATCTCATTTGAAGGAACCAAGAAGTCCTCGAAATGGTCCACGTAAAAGCGGGTTCCAAGGGTGCAAAGCTCTGCCAGGTTGAGTTTCCCTACTTCATCCGGGAGAGCAGGGGCAAGGCACTCCCAACTAAGGTTGACAGCCAGTTTCACCTCATCCCCCTTGTAGTCAATGCCTTTGACCCTGAAAAACCTCAACCCAACTCTCACAAACCTCAACGGCCGCCGCGAGTTGTTTCACGGCCATGCGTCCAGCGTGCGATGACCGGCCTTGCGGGTCTGTGCATCCCGCAAGGGAGTTGAGACTCCGGCACACTGCGGACAGCAGCGCATGTTTGGCGGGTGAAAGCTCGGAAGGGATTGCTAGGGGAAGAGGAAATATGGATTTCCCTTCCATGGGCTGGGACTTGCAGTGCAACATTCCAACATGGAAAAGATCTAGCAAATCCACCAAGCATCCACCAGCCTCGCCTAAGGTTAACCCCGGGAGCCCCAGCTTGATAGCGTTCAGCCGCTCTTGCACGGCCAGAGGGCGCCCAGGAGGGGGACCTTCACGGTCGACCGCCTCCCCGGCTCCCCCAGGAGAGATCTCCAACGCGGAGCCCTCTCCCGAATGCCTCCTCTTCATCACTTCTTCTCCTCCTTCTTCCTGGGCCAATCTTTTGCACGACCCTTATCCTTCCCCTTCTCACCTTTTCCTTTTCCACCACCTTTCTCATCTCTGCCTCGCGGCCCATACGGCACCCAACCGGAATCTGAACTTCCTCTTCCTTGTGCCCGGGAGCCAGCAGACAAAGCTCGGGCCTCATCACGTGCTACCCTAGCCGCATCATGCACCTCGGTATAGCGCGCCACACGGGATGCATCCATGGGCAGGAGCTCCATCTTCTGCATCACCGAATAGTGAAGACCAGCAGCAACGCCTTCCAGGCTCTTGATCCTTTGCACCAAAAGGTCGCCTAGCTCTGCAGCCCGGCCTTGCAACAGGAGATCCAACCCGTAGCACAGGGTGTGGGTCTCCCGAGCCATCGGAGGTGCCATCTTCGACATTAAGGTCTGCCTGAAGTACATGGTGCTCAGAGGAGGAAGTGGGCCATCCTCCAAATCCCACAACTGCCCCGTGTTCTTCAGGAGGCTGGCTCGCATCTCCCTGATTCCTTCAGCCGCCAACACGCCTGGGAAGCGGCGGCCCACCTCTTCGGGCCTCGTGCTGCATCCGAACAGCTCCTCAGGCTCCTCTTCAGACTTCGAGGACGATGAGGCCCTCCCCGAGCTATCATCTGACCTCTTCCTCTTCTTCCTTACTGCCCGGGATGCTCGCTTCAACAAGATTTTCCTCACCTCAGGGTCCGGGTCCAATCCCGTGGACCCCACCACATCTTTCAACGCCTTCTTACCTTCAAGCACAACCCTCTTCTTCTTTTTCTTTCCTCTCTTCTCCTTCGCCTCCTTCCTTTTCTTCCGATCCGCCTCCAAGTCCCCCGCCTCGGGCTCATAGGAGTTCTCATCAGGAGCATGAGCTCCCGCCGCTCCTGCATTTCTTAGCTTCTCTGCTTCTTCACGAAGAGCACGATTCTCGTCGGGCTCCACCCTGCACGCATTCGACATCCACGCCTCAGTGGGCACACCTGGAACTTCGCGAAACACACGACCATGTACCAGGCCATCCTCGCAAAGCTCTTGCTCGCACTCCGGCGGACACACATGCAGCCTAATGCGCCCCTCGGGAGTGCCTGAGACATACTCCAGGAGTCTTCCGGATCGGGTCCCCTCCACCAAGAGGTCCAAATAAGCACTGGACCCCTCAATGCGGGCACCCTTGACTACTCCCACAACAGAAGTTTCTTCCATCCAGTAAACGCATGGATCCAGCCAGATCCTCTGCAACTTCCCCAGGCCGACCATATCGAGCTCGGCCAGCACCAGTTCTTCTCCTCCTCCCACACGGCGACGGCGCCTAGGAGGGTTCTCCCCATTCTCTATCACGGTCGCCTCACCGGCGGCAAACCTGCTGCGGGCCTCCTCACATTCTTAGGAGGCATTACTCCAGCCTCCCTCAACGGCCCCGAAATCGGGCCTGCCTCTCGCGCTTCTTTTTGTCTTTGTTCTTTCCCCCTTTCCAAGGGGCTACTGCCCGGGGCCTCCTACCTGCCGGAATGGGCCCAACCCAATCACGGCCAACTCCCGACTCCTCACAAAAAAGGGGTGCAGCCACTTCAGGGCTATCCTCACCCTCTGACTCAGTGAGGGATACCTCGTTCGCCTGGCACCCAACTCCGGAACCTCCTCAGGCAATTCCGCAGGGGAACGGGGCCTAGGAGCAGGGGGAGGGGGATCCCTGGGAGGCACGGGCGCTCCCACAGGTGCCGGGCTTTTCCTCCTCCTGGAGCTGCGGCTCCTCTTGCTCTCTTTTCTCCTCCGCCTTTCTGGCGTGCGGGAAACTCTTCGCACCTCCGGAGCGGCCTTGGAGGTGGTAGCAGGAGAGGACGCCGAGTGCGTCCCCTCCAGATCCCCTCCTGCTGGAGGGGGGCCAGCGGGCTCAGCCGGCCTAAGAGTCCCTAGCCCAGCGGGCACAGAAGGTCCAGCACCACCGGCTTTGACCTGATCGAAAGTGCGACCCTCCCGCTGCAGCCGAGCGCCCCAAGACAGGAGGGTCGAGGAGAAATCCCTGATTCTCCTCCCAAGCTCCTCGCTGTCCTCCCGCTCAAACCCACGGAGGACAGCGAAACGGAGCTGTTCCAGGGAGCTACACACCGTGCACCACCGGAAGGTCCCGTACCGACCTTCACACAGTGGGCACGGCTGCTCCCCCATCCAACTACGCCACACCTTAAACTGACGTGGCTGCGGCAGACAAGTGCTTTACTCTTTATACCCGCTACGTGAGTCCATATATATATTGAATAGCGCTGAAGTCTCTCTCCTCTCTCTCCCTATAGATAGATAAGACTATGTGATGTATGCTGGTCTGCTCGAACTCTTCTGTGAGACCAGCTAATGGCCCAACACCAAGCGGCGTTGCCGGCATGGAGGCACCGCTGTCAACCTTGACTTCCATTTGGATAAGACCCCTGGAAAAAAAATGTCCGGTGATAATTTCCTTTTAAAACCGACAAGGGACAATAACAAGTATTCTCAAGCAACTGGAAGTTGAAGCTTCCGAATCCGACGAGTTGAGGTTCCAAACGGCAGATTTACGGGAGAGGGATTGCACGGAAGGGTTCTCCCGGCCTTAGCAACTAACGTGAACACCTGGCAGGTGCAATCCATCATCTTCCTCCATTTGCTTTTTCGCCCCCTGGAAAATATAAAACAATGTCCAATAGTGATAGATTCCCTGTAAAACCAACAGGGGGGAAAACATATTACGGAAGTCTTCAGGGTTCCTTGCTACACCTCCACATGCAACTTCAACAAACCTGTGACTCATGTCCACTCGCTCTCCATCGCTCTCCAGCGCGGGCCGTACTCTGCGATCGCCTTGGGCGAAGGGGCAGCTAGCCCATCTGAGCAGGCACCTTCTGCGGGCATTGCGTGGCCTGCACGCCTTCTCAAGTTGATTCATCACCTTCCATTTGCTTAAGAATATTAATTATTTGTTTACTTTCCCTTGTCGGTTTTAAAAGGAAATTATCACTACCAGACATATAATTTTATTTTTCCAGGTGTCTTAACCAAATGGAAGTCACTTGCCGAGACAAGGTGGATGTCATTGCAAAATCAAAGGGTATTCCAACAAGTTGAGTTGCCATGATGCCAGCACGAGAACCACTTCAAGCGTTAGCCACTCATCCGTGGGCGTGAACCGTGAAGCGCCAGGTCAATAAGCAAATAATATTGTTTGGCTCATCCGGCATGTTCGAAACAGGCTATTTGGAACTGAGAATCCCCATCATATCCAATGCCAACCAATCCTTGGATGGCAAGAAAGCAACCTGAACATTTCTTGAGGTGGAAACGTGACAAGGCCTAAAGCAACCAGCGCTGATGCGAACATCCTTCACCTCCATCCAATAAAAAAAGGAGAACGTTGGCATGTATGCCCTGACAGACAGGAGCCATGCCCGATTCAACGCATGACTCGCCAGTGTCGAAAGCTCTGTTGCTTTCCCACTGCTCGCCGTGCTCTAATAATTTGTCTCTCCGACCGATTCCTGTTGCCTCAAGGCTTGAGGTAGTCAGAGCAAAACGCAGCCGACAGACCTCGCCTGTCTCTGACAGTCTATGAGATCCAAGGTCGGCCAGGGATGGTTCCAACCATCCCGTAACTTCGACCAGATTAGGGCGCCAAACGCCTTGGGCCTTGGTATTTCAGCCTAGGCCGCGCCCTGTTCCAACGCGAGCCAAACAGTCTGCAATTTTACAATGATTCGAAAGCCTGAACTAAGAATTGGACCCCCAAGAAAAGGCCCTTTATCGTGGTGAGCTCGTCAGAAAACCCCAGGAGATAGGCACATACAGTGAAATGTCCATAATTATCTTCGCCGCAATTCATTTCAACTCGACACCGCCAGGTGGAAATCACTGCTTCGCAACAGGTGCCATAGAATGGCTGCAGAAAGTGTTGGCCTTACGACAGCCGCTGAGAGATCTTTCTATCCCAATGGTTTTCATAAACTCAACGCACGGAACAAACAAATACGGAGTGTCGGACAATTTCGGACAATTTCAAGGACAGTCAAACGACGAGTGTTGGACAATGTCAAGGACAGTCGTGAACCACATGACTGCAATCTTAACACAAATGACGAGTGTTGCGCAAGATTGGACAGTCATGGACCACACTCAAGAATCTTAAGACAGGCTGAGACGCTTTTGGAAGGCTCGTTCAAGTTCCGCTTTGCTGGGTGCTTGATGCGCGTGGCCCGGGTTGCCTCCAGCCCCCTACCAGCTGCACATCGCCCCGAGAGGCGGCGAGAAGGGCCCGCGCATTCTGCTAGAGGAACCAGGGATGCGACAGCGCCTGAGCCGGCTAAGCTTCACAAACTTGCCCTGGCACTTGCGCGAGTTGCCTGGATCAACAAGCACATCAGGACATAATTTAATAAAGGATGCGTAGCCTTGAGCAGTGCTTTTGGCAGCATCTCAACATTCCCATTTCCCATTTCTACGACACGGCTTTTGTGGGCAGGGGATCCCCGCCGTTCAAATTGTGGAAGCCGGAGCCTTTCAGCTCCAGGAAAGCTAGCGGCCTTCCGTGGCAATGTGTCCTTTTGGAAGTAGCATGGGTTTGCTTGGATGAGCAAAAACCACCAGGAAAAAAACAGGAATCGAAACCCATTGATTTTTCGACCAAAACAACCAAAAGGGACACCTATGGTGGCAATGTTTCCCATCAAAGGACCAGAATGGTGTTGACCAAGGCGCAGAGCTTGATTTCTGCATGCCCGTGGCTTGTGCAAGGCAGATCTTCAGTTATCTAAAGATCAGGGATTTTGGTTGCATATCCGTTGGCAAGGGTTGCAGTTCCTTCCCGGCATTTCCCTCTACAAAACGGTTTCATTTTTCCCCCCTACCTTCTGCTGGTTTTCCTAATCAAGGGAACATGGATCCATGAATGGAACTAATTCCACCCTCTCTTCTGCTGGTTTTCTCAAGGGAACATGGATTTATGAATGGAATGAATTCCTGGGGTCAAACTCCCCCCTCCCCGGCTGGTTCCGTGGTTCCGACCCGGAGAGCTCGGGCCCGGGCCGCTCGAGCATCTCGAGGGCGCAAGGCGGGGCTGAAGGCTAAAAGCTGCTTGCAGAGGTCCATGCTCACTGGCTGCCTCGGCGAGGGCAGGTGGGGGTGGGGCTGGGTGGGGGTGGGGGGTGGCGTGGGGTGAAGGGTGTCGATGCCTCGCAGGTGCTCAAAGGTCTTCCAACCGCGCTTTGACATGCAAACGAACGGCTGAAAAACATATTCTTGGAACACTGCGCCAAGAATGGCTCACTATCTGGGAACATGGCGAGCGGAATTTGTGCTCTCTAAACTGGACCCTGTCCTTTGGTCTGCTTGCTTGTTTGCTTCCTTGCTTGCTTGCTGGCTCGCATGCTTGATTGCTCGCTCGCTGCCACGCTCGCTCGCTTTCGCTTTTCGCGTCTTTGTTTGCTTGCTTGCTTGTTTTCGTTGATTGTGCATTTGTGGGCTTGCTTGCTTGGCTGTGGTGCTCAGAAGGGAATGACCCAGGGCTTTGTAGGGAATGATGCAGGGGGTTGCTTGCTTGGTGTGGCTGTTTGCTTGCTCTGGGGAGGCGAGCGACAGCCCCGGGACCAGCTCGCACGACGCCAAGGGGCAGCGGCCAAGGGTCGCAGTTCCAATCCACCTCGGCATCTCTGAGGCCTCAGAGTCGATCCAGTGATTTACGGGGTGGGGTTACCACCCCTGAACAGGGTGGACCACCCCTTTCACAAAAACAAAGTTTATGGGGAGGTCAACCCCTCCCAATCTGTAGGGACAATTTGTATAAGCCTCAGTTGTTATCAACGGGGCCTGGGGCAAAGGGAGGGGGAAGCCCGAATAACGCCGGAAGGCTCTTCCAGCATGGTATGACCATTGGAAAGGGAAAGCCACCAGCACTTGGCCTCCAGTTTCCAACGCACATCACTGAGGTCGCGGCGCTGAAAGGTATCCTGAAAAATGGCCCGCGGAGAGAGGATCCTGGCAGCGGGATTTCCCATTTACCCTCTAAAAGGAACGAGGGGTTCAAACTGTTCAAACTCGCAAAGCAAGAATTCCAAACCACCAACTAGGGCTAACCTGAAGCCACGGGTGTGCGACGGAAAGTTTTACAGCGAGAGTCGTTGGGGCTGTGGGGATACAGCAATGTGCGCCGGTGATGCCCTGCTTGACATCTTTCCGAGAAGTTCGTATCGACACATGTTGCAAGCGTGACATGCTGCAATGTGCTTAATGGCCGGAACAACCAGGGCAAAGAGCACGTTGACACATCACGATGCATGATCAAAGGAACATCACAACTACGATGGGCACAATTTAACTACATGTACCAGCCTACTGTGGAGGTTTCCCGGGATTGATTGAAACATTGGTCTCCTCACTTGTGCTATACAGAAAAGATTGCTGGATCTTGATTGCTCGGATTTGCTCGGCCTTTCCCTTGGGACTGGTTCCAAGCAAGGGGGAATCATGTGTTGATTAGTTACCCTTCCGGCCACAAACACTGCATCTGTGGGAGGACACCTGGAAGATCAGTTTCCTCTCAAAGGGACCCCTGTCAGGTGTCAAATGTGGGAGGGAGGGTCAGCCCGGAAATCCCCTGGTCGGCATCTCCGATCTCCGCCTGGGGCCGGGCTGCTGCTGATGAATCTGGCTGAGGCCATCGAAGAGCTCGTCGCTGTAGGGCATCCTCGGCGTCAGCGAACTGCCGGGCCAAACTTCCAGCAACCTGAGAACAGATCTTCCATCTGGTTAAGACCCCTGGAAAACAAAAAATATATATTTCCAGTAGTGATAAATTCTCTTTAAAACCAACAAGGGAAAATGATGTTTGGCTGTGGGTCAAAAACAAGGTAACTAAGCCCGAAATGGGTGACCCTAAATGGAAAGATGGACTAAAACCTAGGTTCTCCAGTAAAAAGGTTAGAATAAGGGTACCCTTTTTCTGTAGTCTATATTAGTGGGGGCCCCAAAAAAGGGTACATCCAATTCTGGAACATCCAACAGCGCTCACGGACCGAAACGGATGCGTTTCGCCTCAGCAGCTCCGACGGAGCTCGTGAAAAAAAAGGAGGCAGGTGGCGATGCCAATGACCCTTGGTCAGCATTCAACGAGGAACGTGGATCTTTTCTCACTGCCCCATGCTTCCATTGTGACGAGGTTCTTGCCAGTCATCAGCATGTAGAAGACTACACCTGGCCCGATTCTTGGATGGAACCGGCGCCTTTTCACGTTTTGCCTCGGCTCCTCGGCTCTTTGCGCATGTATTCCATGCCAGTCAGCAGTCGTTCCCTTGTCGCAACCTCTGAGTCTATGCATGATGTGTGGCTGGGCAAGGGCAAGGCACACCACACCCTACCTGTTCCTGTGTGGCCTCAGCAATAGAGAAATTTACGGGTCAGTCGCTGATTCTGCACAGGGTTCAAGTATAGCTGCATTCCCCCATGCAACCCGCCTACGCTGTAGAGATCGCTCTGCCTTGAAAAGGTGCAGAGGTATGTCTCCTTGGTCAGGCATGGGTCACAAAAAACGGCCAGCGCACCTGGGTACCATCAGCTACGGTACCTTTCATACTTGCGTGAACAAATTATTTGCAGGTTCGTTCGCGAGATGTTCATTTCCTGAGCCTTTCGCCGCAACGTTCCTTCAAAGGATTCCCGCAACTTCATTTCCGGCAGCGCCCATCCAGTTGGAGATGTTCAAGAGGGCTCCCCCGAAAACCACGTGTTGGGACGAAACAACGAAGCCTCGGATCTGGAAGTAGACAGGCTGTTGATGCGGGCGGCCCATGGGCATTGCATGCTGAGATCCCAGGCTCGTTCACCACACAGCACACACTGATTGACACAGATCCCACACTGATTGACGCACGCCAACCAGTGCAGCTCATGTTCGCAAGGACTTTCGCTTTGGAACTCGTGGGCAGTAAAACACACCCTTGTTTGGATTCAAACAAGTTCCCGTTGAGCGGATCTGTCACGTCCACTCGATCGTGGGGTCGTGGGGGCACGTGCTTGCGGATTCTCACTGCCTTCGAAGTGGCTGGTGCGTTGAATCTCCTTGTCCCGTAGATCCGCTCCTCGGCCGTAGATCGCATATTGGCGATGGGATCATGTTAAATGTGGCTGGGTGGGTGGGTGGGGTGGGTGGGTTAGGTGGGTGGGGAAGTGCAACGAGCCCACAAAAGATGCCCAGGGTATCGAAAGGGGAGTAAACAATAGAAAGCGCATTCTGCTCAATGTCCTTCATAACTATGGCCTTCCCCATCACGGTGTCAGCTCAAAGTCACGGCTCCCCGTCTCGATCCCATGGAGGTCCATGCCACGCATCACACGAGATCCCATGTGAGTGCCCGTGCCACCCGGTGACTTTTGGTTTTACCAAGACGGTTATACAAGTGCATGTGGGGCTCACCAAAGCCCAGTCACCTCATCAAATGGCACCATGTTCGGGGGGGTTGGACGCCAGCGTAAATCAAGAACGCGCCCGGACAAATCGCCCAACCCACCCGCCCGCTGCGCAGGACGCAAAGCGGCTTGCTCGCTGCCATTGTTGGGAAAATCGGAATCAGCATGGTCGAAGTCGATGAGCACGACTCTCCTTGAGGGACCAATAGGCTTGCGGCATAGGAAGAAACTATTTTATTATGCCGCAAGCTTATAACAAAAGGATGTTTCAAAGCCATCCTTTCCATTCTACATTATACAATAGAAAGGATGGCCCTGAACCATCCTTTGGTTTAGCGTGTGTTTTGGGTGGTTTAGGGTGGGTTTAGGACAGGTTTAGGTTAGGGAAAGGCTTGGCTTGGCGGGATGGCTCGGGGTGAGGTTTCTTTTGAAGCTGGCCACGGCAAGCCCACAAGCAACAAATGAAAGGCAAACAAGCCCACAAGCAACAAATGAAAGGCAAACACATACCCTCACATCAACTAACATGGAAGTGCACTAAGCCCCTTCCCAGCAGGAAAGTAGTCTTGCTACGGGTGTTGTCTGCGCAGTTCCATGTGCACTTCCTTTAGGCGGTGGGAGGGTACCACTTTTTCGCGGCCAAGATGGATATGACTTCTACATGCACAAGGTCGATTGAAGCGGAACACAAATTACTTTACAAAAGACTTGCTGAACAACCGCACCGTAGTTACGTCACAATCCCGAGGCCTGTGCCGACTGGTAAGGGTGCTCAAAGATGTGCGAGGGTACTTTCTCGGCCAGAAGTACCAAACAGGTGCCAAGTGACGCACGCAAGCCATGCTTGCAAATGCCTCTTACAATCAATGTGCGAAGGGTAATTACCGTCAAAAAACCATGTGCACCTCAGTTGCCCAAGGAACCTGGAAATATCAGGAGATCACCTTTTGGGGTGACCAAAAATGGGACGCCAAAAAGGGGAAAACCAAAAGGTCGCTTCAAATCGAATCGCTTCGAAGAACTGAGACACACATAGACCTGGGAAACCTGGACCCTGGCGCTTGTGACTCGTTACAAAGATGCGACTGGCGCTTTTCTCGGGCCTTCTCTGCGTGCCCGTGGCTTCGTCCGTTTCGGCCTGGCAGGATCTGGGGCTCTGGCGTCCGCATGCCAAGCACCGCTTTGAAACCGATTGGGCGTGTTTGTGAGAGTGCTAGTATTCGTCTTTTGTTTGGCTTTGAAGGGGCATCTGGCAGGAAGCTTCCCTCTGCACACCCCCGGTGCAAACGACTGCGCAAGGTTCCTTCAAGAACTGACTGACTTCATGAGTGGACAAACTTCTTGTTTATACCACTAAAATGCCCAACCCAAAAAAGTGAATAAGGTCCATGAACTCGGGCAGTTTGACAAATTTCACATTGCAAACAGCTACGGCTTGCGCAACATCGCGCCTGAAGGACCATGTTGTCAGGCTTGATGTCGCGATGCAACCTGTAGCAGTTGGAGAAGAGTGATTGAGGGCTTAGGGCTCCGCTCCCTTCACTGAAGCTGACTGAAAGTCATTCCTTGAGCTGAGGTGTGCCCAACTAAAGTGATCTCTCCAAGTCGATCGCTGGTTCGACCCCTAGAACCAAACAACCCAACTTCAAGCAAGGCAAGCCGATTGGTCATGGCTGGCCCTTCAGCAAAATAACTTTAGCGAATTGAGGTGCTGTTTTGCCTGCACCACGGAAGGTTATTTAGGGTTTAGGGTTTAGGGTTTTACGGTTTAGGTCTGAGTGTCCGGCACACCGTGGCTGTGCAAATGATCCAGGGCTTCCAGCATGTCTGTCATCAGGCTCCTAGCGACACACTTCTCTTGCGAACTCGGCTGACATGTGAGCCCTCCCAGCCGAAGCCAATTGAACGCATCGAGCACCTGATGAGTCCAGGACAATCCAGAACACCAAGTCGGCTGACCTTGGCAGGCCCAAAATTCTCTTCATTACAAGAGAGCTAAGGCAAGCACTGACCTTATGGGTCCAAGAATTGTAAAGCAAGAAAAGCGTGCCTGGCCGGCCGTTTCTCTTCTTCCAGCTTCCGTTTCGTGGTATTTGTTTGTCTTTACACCAAAACCCCGAGGGTCCAAGTAGCTTCCAAGGAGGCACTTGGACCCCTTTTTACCCCCCAAAAGTCAGAAGCCATCCTCAGAAGGTACCAAGGGATTTTTCTGGGAAACACATTTCCTCTGCGCCATCCTATCGTATCGGCTCGAAACCGATCCGAGACGGACTCCTCAGGGCGGCTTCCGGCACCACGCCATCTTCAAAGTCCAGCAGCAGCCCGGCGAAGAAGCTGTTGCTGGCTCTGGGCGCCACCACCTCGATCGGACTCGGATACAAGTGATACAAGGATGAAGGCCCCGGGCCCCGGAAGAAGGCACTGCCGTGAAATCGAAGGCTACCCTCCAAGTGGCTTTATTGGTGGCTGGGAGGTGTCATTTGTTTGTTCTTTTCCAGGTACCCCCTGCCCAAAGCCCATACCCATGATCTCAGCTTCCCTCTTGTTGCTCTCTCTCTCTCTCTCTCTTTCGCTGCCACCACTTGGGGCGCCGCTGCTACTCAAAAGCAGCCAACAACCAGGCAGATCTCTGAAACCAACCCAGCATCTTGTTGGTGGTGTGGATTTGTGGTGGGGACGTTTTTCTTGGGGGTTCTCCATTTACCGCCTAGAGCCAAGGGTTTAACCCCCCAAACCACCAATATTGGGGGGAGATAAGAAAGACACAAGCACACACACACATGTCTGACAAGGGCACACACCTGGAGTTGTCAATCAAACCCCCCAAAATCACCCTTGAACAGAAGCAATGCACAAAACTAAACTTCAAGATGGCTGCTGGTGCCCTTGCCCCTGTTCAAGCAGCACGCACCAACTTGAGAAACCAGTTGGAAGTGCCGATCAATGGCCGTTCTCAGGTTCCCCGGCGTAGTAGAAGGCGTCATCCTCTAACGCCTGTGCAGGCTGGCAGGCATTTGCATAGCGTCGGCTGTCATTCTGGCGACGTGCCTCCTCCACTGGCATGATCCCAGGATGAGGTGGAAGCGACATCATTTTCGCAAGCACCTGGGCATCGGAAAGGCCGCACACGACAACCATCCTTGCTAAAGCAGCCAGAGTTGACCCAAAACCACCTCAGAACCCTGTCCTAAAGTCTGGCTGTTGAGTTGCTCAAAGTCCATTTGGACAAATAAAGGCAAGAGTGGTCACCTCAAGGGCTGACAAAATATCCCTGCGCACGGCGCGGACCAATCCAAGTATGTGTGTGTGTGTGTGTTCGGCAGCAGCGCCAACCGCCGTGTCCTTATCAACTGCAAAACGCTTCCAGCGGCTAGCCCGCGCCTTCACCGGCCATGTGGTTGGATTGGAACCAAGGTTGGTCAGGGTTGACACGGCGTTGGACCCGTTGGGGTGGCTTCACCAAAAGGCACATGGCGCGCCAACGGTCCAGAAAACATGGCCAAGTGGCAGAATCCAGCATAATGTTGACCCAGGGTTAATAAACCCGTCCCATTATTAGGGGGGTGTTCCCTCCAACAGTGACGAATCCCCACTAAAAGGGGACACCCCCCTATTAATCAACCAGGGGTTTATTAATCCGGGGTTAACATTACCCTCGAAGGTGAAAAAACTTATAATGATGGAATCGACAACATGCACCACCGTCCCAGCTGCTCCCGAAATGGACAAGTGCCAACACCTCGTGATCAAGCGACCGATGCTATATGCCAGAGCCTGAAAATACCGATGCTTCCATGTTTGAATGTATACGCATCGATAGAGCACATACAAGCAAAAACTTCACCGCCGCATTATGTTTTGTCGCCTGATCCCGGAAATGGCCCCAAACAAACTTAGCCTAAAAAAAAAAAGGTCAACCACTGGCTTTGGGCCGTCTAGCTTTGCTCCAAGAGCTTTCCTGGCAACTGTCAACTGCGCAGCTCGCTTGCCATGCTTCAGCTTGCCAAGTTGCCTTCCGGTACTGCTCACCGAATCCCTCTTTCCTGGATACGGATAGCACATATGAACCTCTCGTCTTTTTCTGGAGTTGCTACACGTTTTAAGGGTTTCTTATTATAGGAAACCAATGGGACAAACGTCGTTGCGCCATTTTGGGGGGGCGTCCGATTCTCCGTGCGATGCGAGAGTTGGGTGTCGGCCCATGCCTTCCTGACCTTTTCCAGCATAAAGTGCATGCTCGAAGCACTAAAAACAAAACAGCTCTAAGAATACAGTCAGAACACAATGTGCCTAAGTGCCAGTGTTGTTTCGAGGGTGACAATTGTTTCTCCGGGTTGGAGGAGGGGAATTACAGGCAAACTTCGCTCTGGCAACCGCATGCTCGCCATTTTGTGCAGAAAATTGAAGACTTGGCTGACCCTTGCGCAGCCCGAACGCCACCATCTTCTTGGTTCGACAGGCAGGGAATGAGGCTACAACCCATCGCGAGTTGGCTTCCTTTAGGGGAATAGGGGAATCCCCAACCTTGGCCAGTGCATTCCCAACACCTGGGACGGTCATTCCCTACCCTATGGCACCAGCAAGTTTTGAGTGCCTGACTTCCATTTGGGTAAGACCCCTGGAAAAACTAAGCATATTTTCAGTAGTGATGCAGTGCTTTTAAAACCAACAAGGGGAAATAAAACAAAATATTCATTTCAGCAAATAGAAGCTGATGTTCCTTTCTGCCAAAGTGCTGGAGCTTCAACTTGGACTTGATCTTCATGACCTTGTTGAACTCCTTGTTCTCCGCCTGAGCCCCCCCCCCCCCCACCAAAAAAAATCGCTGGAAGAGCCAGCCGTGCAGTGCGCCAGCCCAAAAAAAGAAAAGGAAAGAACCTTTCGCAGGAGAAGCCAGCTGGGTGCTCTCTCAAGCGAATGAACCCGGAATCCGCCGACCCCATGCCTGGTCCATGGACTGTCTCTCTCTTGGGTCTCTCTGTGTCTGTCTACGTATCTGCGTCTGTCTTCGTGTCCGCGAAGACCCTCCCCCCCCCCCCTGCGTGTCTGTCTGTCTCTCTCTGTGTCTGTCTACGTATCTGCGTCTAATGGGATTCCTCTTTCTACTCATCCTACAACAAGTGACCAAGGGGATGTCTTGTGTCATATGTCGCCTTGTTGATTGATTGTGTCCACAGGGCCCTCCCCCCACATAGAAGTGTCTGTGCGCCACTGTCTCTGCGATAATGTCGTATCTTGGGTGCGTAACAGGTGTCACGAAGACCCTCCCCCTGGTGTCTGTCTGTCTCTCTCTTTGTGTCTGTCTACACGGCTGTCTTAAATCTTGTCTTTCGTATCACGAGACCCCCCCCCTCCTGCGTGTCTGTCTGTGTCTTGTGTCCTGTCTACGGCTCTGCGTGTGTGTACCGTGTCCGCGAAGACCCTCCCCCCCCCCCTGCGTGTCTGTCTGTCTCTCTCTGTGTCTGTCTACGTATCTGCGTCTGTCTTCGTGTCCGCGAAGACCCTCCCCCGCGTGTCTGTCTGTGTCTGTCTGTGTCTGTCTACGTATCTGCGTCTTCGTGTCTGCGAAGCCCTCCCCCTGCGTGTCTGTCTGTCTCATATGCTTGTGTCTGTCTACGTATCTGCGTCTGTCTTCGTGTCCACGCGAAGACCCCCCCCCCTGCGTGTCTGTCTGTCTCTCTCTGTGTCTGTCTACGTATCTGCGTCTGTCTTCGTGTCCGCGAAGACCCTCCCCCCCCCCCTGCGTGTCTGTCTGTCTCTCTCTGTGTCTGTCTATGTATCTGCGGGGAGGTGCTGAGAGCACGTCATACACAGCTTCAAGCATGATGGGGCGCTCAATCGTGTTACGATGGTCTTGGAGGCATGCCGGCAAAGACGCAAAGCCCCTGAACAAAATCAAAGCGCACCTGATCACCGTTTTAGACCAAGTGTGTGAACCCGCTAGCTTGAATCATTGAACAGGTAATGCATTTGCCAGGGGCAACGATTTGACAAACATAAACCATGACAGGGGGATGGCTTCTTGCAGCCAGTGAGTTTGACGCGAGCGCTGGGCTTGCTATGTCAAGCTCTGTCCCAAAGCTAGCCTTAAGCTTCTGTTGATTCAATCAAATGGTGTTTGATATCGATGCATGCAACCTTCTAGGAATGGCACGCGTCTACCCATTGCAACCCACAATCACTCAAAGAACTACCCCGCTGGCACCTCCTAGTCAGCCGCGGGTCGGGTGCTGATTTTCAGGACAATTCCCTGGGAAGCCAATTCAGAACCTCACCAACAGCCTACATCCATGCTAGAAAGTGCGGGCTCAACATGATGTGTCAAATCCACCCGGCATGAAGTTAGCGCTCCAACATTCAGCCTGACTGAAAGCTTCCAGGTCATGGGCATGAAGCCTTTGCCACAAACAAAAGACTAGGTCCTCCAGAAGAGAGGTTAGAATCAGGGTACCCGATTTTTTTCTGTAGTCTATGGGGGACCCTGGGACCCTCCCCCAAAAAAACAAGTTGGTAAAAGGGCCTACTGGGACCTAGAAAAGCAAAGCCCAAGTTGCGCCTCATCCTCCTTCTTCCGGCAGAAGACTACCTTGCCTCCGTCCCCATCTTCCTGAATCACCTGACGGCAAACTGCCCTTAAATACTCAAACCAGAATCGACCCGACCCCAACTGCTATCTTCGCATGCTTTGCGTGGGACACCTTCATTCACAGGGCGCAGAAACCAACCTCTCGCAAGCCAAGCGGACATGCTGTCCTGGTGGTGGATAGGGTCGTACTACAACCAAAAAGAATTAACATGGAACCCAAAAAACGCAACTTGTAGCGGAAACTCCTTTCGGGGGACCCTCCTTTTTGGGTTCCTTCCGTTCATCCTAGGGTGACGTAAGCCCATGCCACGTGCTTGGATCGATGGGCTTCGAGCTCATCCTTCGTGCTGACTTGGCATGGTCGCAGTGACCATGGGCCCTTGTGAGAATTGGGTTTGGTTCAACACTTGAGGGCTGGGGTCACGCAGGCTTTGGTCTTTGTTTCCATCCGAGGGGCCCAAAACAGGTTCCACTTCTTAGAGCCACGGGCCAACTGAGAATGAGCAACTGCTCCCCCGGGCGCGCCTGCTCCCAGTAGTAGACGTCATAAATCTTCTGCCCTTCTTCCAGGCCCTTGATGCTCCTGCCAAATGACCGACCAGCCAACAAGCCAGTCTCATCCAGCCAACGCAGCACACAATCAAGTCAAATCAACACAGAACAATACAAACACACAAGCAAGCAAGCAAGCAAGCAAGCAAGCAAGCAAGCAAGCAAGCAAGCAAGCAAGCAAGCAAGCAAGCAAGCAAGCAAGCAAGCAAGCAAGCAAGCAAGCAAGCAAGCAAGCAAGCAAGCAAGCAAGCAAGCAAGCAAGCAAGCAAGCAAGCAAGCAAGCAAGCAAGCAAGCAAGCAAGCAAGCAAGCAAGCAAGCAAGCAAGCAAGCAAGCAAGCAAGCAAGCAAGCAAGCAAGCAAGCAAGCAAGCAAGCAAGCAAGCAAGCAAGCAAGCAAGCAAGCAAGCAAGCAAGCAAGCAAGCAAGCAAGCAAGCAAGCAAGCAAGCAAGCAAGCAAGCAAGCAAGCAAGCAAGCAAGCAAGCAAGCAAGCAAGCAAGCAAGCAAGCAAGCAAGCAAGCAAGCAAGCAAGCAAGCAAGCAAGCAAGCAAGCAAGCAAGCAAGCAAGCAAGCAAGCAAGCAAGCAAGCAAGCAAGCAAGCAAGCAAGCAAGCAAGCAAGCAAGCAAGCAAGCAAGCAAGCAAGCAAGCAAGCAAGCAAGCAAGCAAGCAAGCAAGCAAGCAAGCAAGCAAGCAAGCAAAGAGGGCAAGCAAGAAAGCAAGCAAGCAAGCCAGCCAGCCAGACAGCCAACGCACACAAACAGACAAACAGACAGACAAGACAAGGCAAGACAAGGCAAGGCAAGAACGAAACAAACCAACCGACCAAACAAACAAACAGACAAAGAAACACACAAAACAAACAGACACACAAACAATCGGCCAGCCAGCCAGGCAGCCAGACAGACACACAGACAGACAGACACATAGACACACAAGCACGGAGACACACAGAGACGCACAAAGAGACAAACACACAGACGCAGAGACACAGACACGCAGACACCGAGACACGCAGACACAGAGACACACACACAAGCACACACAGAGAGACACAGAGACATAAAGAGAGAGAGAGAGAGAGAAACTCACTCACAGACGCAAACACAAACACACACACACACACAAGCGAGCAAGACCGCAAGCAAGCGAAGCAAGGCAAAGCAAAGCACCCGCCTCCTCTCTCCCTACTCTATATACCCAAATAAGTGCGTGCACATGTAGATGCGACCCTATTCGAGATCGTCCAAAAGTGCAACCAACGTGAAGAGCTTTCACTGACCTCAGATTTCCACAACACTTTTTCACCCGGGCACTTCCAAGCGTGCTGTTTCCATCGCAGCTGGCAAAATGATTGCAAAAGGTCTTCGGGGCATTTCAAGAAGCTCTCCTGTGGCTTTTTGTCCAGTTGAACTTACGAATGCAAGAAGCAACGCTAAACAAATGGCCGCAAATGGCAGAGTTGCTGCACCTAACTCCGCAACCCGACCTTGAAGGCAGAGAGTCATCTGTGCATAAACCTGGCAGGGCGGTTTCACCACCCCCGGCGAGTGAAATTGGAGAGGTGGAGGCTAAGGGGCAAGGCACCAACTTCCAATCCACCACACGCAGTCCGTATTTTCAAGCTTCCGTTGACTTCGTGCCTGCAGGCAATGTCTGCACACGCTGACATCTGCGCTTCAAGGGCGACGACGACTGCGCTTTGTTCGCCTCAGGTGGCACTGGTGGCTGACTCAACTTGCAGCTGGGCGAATCTTTACATATCCCAAAGGGGCCAAAAAGGCTCGCCGTGCTTGACTTTGTTGGGGTAAATTCATGTCGCTTTGGGGTGGCAACCGGATGGAACTAAGTGCGATGAACTTTCACTCGCCCAAAAACCCACGGTCAAAGCGTTGGAAAGAACCGGATAGAACCGGATCGACTCGATGAGCATGCGGGGTTTTGATAACTGGCTGAAATGCGTGTCCAAGCTGAAGAATCCCGCAAACACTGTGATCACCAGTCAAGTCTTCCAAAATGAGTGGTCCTATGCGGGTGTGTCTTAACCCAGCAAAGGGGTACCAACTCAAAAAAAAAACACAAGGTAGCCGTGTTCGAGCAGCTTGGGCTTGGCCTTTCGCGGGAAAGAAATCGAGAAACTCCGCCGGGCCACTAGGCAGCCGGTGCTACCCCAGGTTCGGCGCGGGCTGCTGGTGGCCTGGCCAGCCGGTGCTGAGGGAAGCGAGGGGTTTGGATGTTTGGAGGGGTTAGGGCTGGAATATCGCATTTGCTCCTAGCCAGGGGTTCAAATCCCCCAACCACAAATCCAAACCAAGCCATGGCTTGATTAAACCCCTTGGGCCCGGTGGGTGCCCAAAAACCCCCTGTCCAAGAGTTCAAGGCGCCAGCGCCTCAAAAGCGAAAAGAGTTGAACCGACATGAGCAGCTGTGCATCGTAGATATAAAATAACATTCACTTCAGAGGAATGATACGTTCCTTTGCTGGGCTCAGTTCCCCCGCTCAAAGTTTAACTTTTAGTGGGTTGAATGGAAACCTCTGCTAAACACCAAAAGGCTAAAAAGATAAGGAACCGGATGGCTGGGAGCAACCAAAGTTCTTGATCGGCACTTGAAGTGTCTCTTTTGGGAGGGTGCCCCTTGTTTTTTTTCTAGTTGAGAGAACCAAGCGAAACCAACCTTGAGGCTTCCTATGAGACAATCCCAGAAAGGGAGCACCAATTTTAGGCCATCGCGCCTGCTTGTTCCCAAGAAACCATCCTATCTGCTCTGCTATGGAACTTGCGCGCGGCCAGCGCGGCCAGTGGCCACGTCAGAGTGAATTAACCAGGAACTCTACAGACTGAAGCGGGAATTGAAAGGCTGAGTGTTGAAGGGATATGAAGCACGCTTCCAGGTTAGGGTCAACCACTGAGTGCGTGCTAGGTCCTCCAGTAGAGAGGTTAGAATAAGGGTAACTTTTCTTGTAGTCTACTTTAGTAGGGGAACCCTACCCCAAAACAGGGTAACAGGGCACTACTTGGGGACCTAGCATGGATGAAAGCTGCCTGAGGCACGACGAGGCTGCTGCATCTGGGCTGCTGCCGCTCCTGAGCCATCGGGAGCTTTGAAGCTGAGCATAGCAGCTTCACACGAGAAGTTACCGCCATAGGTGTCCTTTTAGGGGAAATAGATGGATATCCCTGGTAGATGATAAACCACCAGGTAAACCAGAAATCGCCATCGATTTTTCGAGCAAAACAAACAAAAAGGACACCTGTGGATACTGCCATGTCCTTTGGCTCCCCTCCAACCACCAGACTAAATTAGTCATGGACCTGATCTTTGGCTTGCGGCCTTTGCTTCGAGGTTGGCGCACGGAGTCGTGCAAGCCACAGGAAGGGCGGCAACCCGAAGGAGCCAACCCAAATGCTTGTTGGTCTGGGGGGTGCCCTGACCAAACTGAGCAGCTCTCTGCAAGTTGAGCACTGGTTTCATGGTGCAGACTTGGGTGAGCCTTATGCCAAGTCAACGAAAGCTTACCTTAGCCAGGTTAGTTTGGTGGTTTGGGCCTTCAGGGGGTAATTTCCCCATTTCAAATCCCCAAACATTGCACATCACAAAACAACAAATGCTTGCAGCTCCAAATCAGGAAGCCAAAGCTCGGGCGCTCCTGGCATGCCGGTCACAGAAATTCATGGGGTCTGGGGTGATACGATACAAGCTAATTTGGGCTCCCTCCCCCTCCTCCCCCCCTCCCCCCCCCTCCCCCCCTGCCCCCCCCCCCACCCAGGCCACATGAAAAAATTGCAGAATGCAACACATGCATTCTTGGAACCCAATTTCAGATCTTCACACATGAGCTGAGCAGCTGGAGCGGCTTCTATGTAGCCACCAGGAGCAGCCACAGGCGGACTAGCATCCTCAAGCAAGATCCAGGCTGCCCAACAGTGATGAGACAAATTTTGTTAAATGCAGGTCATATGACTCAAATCTGACAAAATGTTTGTTTCAATGCAAGTGATATATATATATATATAATATGTGTATATATATATATACATATACTCAAATCTGACCACAAATCTGTGCTTCTACAACTGTGGCCCGTGTTCTTGCTGAACTTTCCCAGGCTGTAATGCCACGCGCGGGTCTGAACATGGAACCGGTGCTTCCCCGGATCTCACGTGACATCACGCTTCGGTCATCGTCGCCATCGCCTTTATCAGCATCGTCCGTCCGTCACCACACATCATTGCGAAGCATCCATTGACAATTATATACATGCGTCCCCGTACTCATCCTCATCATGATGTGTTCGCATCTCCTAATCGTCATTAGTTTGCTTTTTCTTGGGTGATGCCATCGTCACGCATCATCGCCCACCATCACTGATCCCCATACTCATAACAGCCCATAACCACTATCATCACCCATTGTCGTACAAATCCACCCATTGTCATGCATTATGTATTTGCTTATCATCCATTGCACGTGGTCAAGCCCGAGGCGCTCAGATCTCGTTTTTGAAAGGAAATCTTCGGCATGTAAGGAAGGGACGCGTCAAACAAACCAGCCTTGTTCCTGGCATGTCTGAGACTTGTCACATGTTTGGGCACAGCCCAAACTAGCAACCAGGCGGATCTCAGCCAGTCCAGCCCAGGCCCTCCACCGACCAACCCAAGCAAGGCCCCTGTCCTGCGCATCGCCTTGCCCTTGCCTCGGAATTCCTGCAGGTTCAACGATGCCAGAACCTGTCCATGCCTCAATCACCACTTGACTAGCTTTGCTGCTTGCAGTCGAACGACCGACGCTGCGTGCTGCTCGGCTTGGCCGAGGCGGGCAACGCGCAGCGTTTGAGCTGTCAACATCCATTATCACTCCCCGCCACCCTCCCACCCCCCACCCACTCAGAATCTTCAGTATCAAGCAGCCCGACCATCCATCAATCCATCCAGCCAGCCATCCATCCATCCACCACCCAAACACCCACCACCACGCGCCGGCCATCATGCACCCTCCCTCACAGCAGCGCACTTGCACCAGCACTGCCTCCGAGCTTAGCTTGTGCTTCTTTCGGGGCAAGTGGCGTTTGACGAAACGTGCCACAGCTACGCGGGCCACACATGCCCAATAGAGGAGCAGTGCACAAGGGCACCCCAAGGATATAAACCTTGGCTGCCGAAGTGAAGGGGGTCTGTGACAATTCATGACAGGCCGCTGAGCAACACGAAGCCCAATTACCCTTTGCAACTGAGGGTTCCATGGTTGAACATGGTACCCGCAAAGAAAAGGACAAAAAGGCACTTGGTGGACCCTGCCTGGCTCGG